AGAGCGGTTTATATACATTTCCTACTCCAATGAGAAGCACACTGGGACTGCTAAAGCCAGCACACAGACTCGCACCTCGTAAAGGGCAGGGGTTCAATTAGTCTTCATGAGAAGCAGGATCTAAACCAAAGCTTCTAGTTACTTCAGGCAGACAAGGTTCTTTGGGTGAATCTGATATCTTTTATTAGACCAACTTAAATAGTTGGAAAACAATTATTAAGCAAGCTTTCAGGTTCAAAAACCCTTCGTCAGGCTAAGGAAGTTTCAGCAGTTGGCATGTGCTAAGCCAGCCCTTCTCTAATGAGACTTTCCTCACCCCCATCTCAAAATCATCTGGAACAAAATTCCCTTTGGCACACTGCAACTTCCCCCAGCTCTCAGGAGTTTCACCCTATCCCCAAACCCACAGGGGCTCCCTCTAGGTTTGTCAGTACTTACTGTTCTGAATTCCATAAATTTCGTCAATAAGCCCTTCATACGTAAGCTGAGTAGCCAGCGGCGTCAACAGATCAACGTTGCGGTCCAGCAACAAGAGGGTATCAAAGACCGGAAATATTGAGTTCTGGCTTCCAGGGAACTCTCTCTTCATCCTGATCATCATATTAGCCACATGCTGAAACAAAATGTTCCTTGGTCATGGCTCTGGCCATCCGGGGGGTGCTATGATGACTAAATACACCCACATATCTTAAGAAGTAGGGCTAGTGGGGACCTTCTGAGGTCACCTGCTTCAACCCCCTTTTCAAGACAGGTTCATCCCTATCCAAACCATCCTGCATGCGTTTGTTTAATCTACTAGGATTGCACAGAGAGTAAATGGCAGGAATGGCAAGTTGCAGCTCTGTTACAACAGGAGGCAGAGACAGGAAGATGCAAACCAAGCCACCCTACGCTAGCTCTTGCTGGTTCAGACTACTGAAATAGTGACTACACTTGTAACCCTCTCCCCTGCCCCCCCTGCTTGAACATGGGAAGTTCAGAGGAGATAAACAAAAAAAAGATCAGGCTAAAGGGACTGTCTTACAGCCAGAGACCCAAAGTACAAGACGCATTCAACTTTGGTTGAATAATGGGTAAAGATAAAGGCAAAGGTGGTCTCACATGAGGGCAAAAGGATACTAGGGAAAATTTACATCAAATGCAAGGGAAACTTCCTGACAGCAAGATCTGTTTGTCTGCAGTCTCCTAGAGGAAGCCAAGAAACCCAGTCACTTGAGATATTTGTGAATGGACAATGCTCTCTACAACCACTGGCCAAAACCCCTTCCCCCAGCTCTCCCAGATGTTAAAACAATCATGGAACAAAAACATTCACTGGCTGAATCCCTCTGAAATATATGAGAAGAGGTGTTAATCTCAGCAGCCAGCTGACATTTTATAGAGTAGATAACTATTGGGAGAATTTAAAAAAAATGTAGTTAACACTTACAAAGCTCCTTATACTGCTCAGAGGAATAAAATCCTCAGCAGGAGGCTGTGAGAGAATTATTTCATTTGACAGGAGCAAACTGCAGCTTATGATTAAGAGCATCAGTGAACCATGCGTACACTAACGACAGCTACACGAGCACAGGAGGGATTTAGCAACTAAGACATGGAGCAGGATGGAGTTGGTTTTACCCTTGCACACTCGCCCTTCCCAAAGATCTGTGGGATTGTCCCATAAAGTGCCTGCAGGGTCATCAGGCCCTTGGCTGCGTGGTACAGACTTGTCTGGTCACTCTCCAAATAGCATTCCTGAATGACAAGGAAAGGAAGGTTAAGAAACAGGCCATTTCAGAGGCACCATCACCGCAGCGGTACAGCAGGCTGAATCAGATGGGCTCAAGGGATTAAGAGGACTCAGATTCTCCCACCTCTTTAAACCTTGGGATGAGCAATCCTCAACACACCTACAGGTTTGGTGGCACCAAACTGACCAGCACCACAAATGAAAGGGACCTGAGGGTAATAATAGACCAAAGTATGAATATGAGCCAGCAGTGCGATGCTGGAGCCAGCAGGGCAAATAATACTCTGGCATGCATCAATGAGTGCATCTCCAGCAAAACCAGGAAGGCAATTCTTCTGCTCTACTCAGCACTGGTGAGACCACAGCTGGAGTACTGCATCCAGTTCTCAGCACTGCACTTTAACATGGACAAGCTTGAGAGAGTCCAAAGAAGAGCCACCCGTATGATCAGAGTCTTAAAAGACAAGCCATACGAGGAAAGGCTGAGGGATCTGGGACTCTTCAGCCTGAGGAAAAGGCGGCTGAGAGGGGACCTGGTAGCAGCTTACTGTGACACTAGGGGAGTACATCAAGGGCTCGGTGAGCAACCGTTCGCCAGGGCACCCAAGGGGAAAACTAGGAGTAATGGCCACAAACTCCTGGAAGATCAATTCAGGCTCAACATTAGGAAAAACTTCTTCATAGTCAGGGTGTCCAGACTGTGGGATAAGCTCCCTCCAGAGGTGGTGCAATCCCCTACCATGGAAATCTTCAAGAGGAGACTAGACAGTCAGGTGACTCCCAGTTATCTTTCCTGCTTGGTGCAGGGGGCTGGACCCGGTGATCTTCCGAGGTCCCTTCTGGCCTTACAATCTATGAAACCTGGCTCAAGTCAACACTAACTCAGAGTTGTTACTAGCTAGCCAGTTGCTCAGCTTGCCCGAGGACACAAGCTGGCGGAGGGTTTCCTTTTGATGGAGGAGGTTTATGCTCCCTGGCCATCTGTGTTCTGCGATTAACAGGACAGCCATCTCCTGCGATGCAAACTGTGGACCCTTTTCTGTGCCGAACTCAGAGCACAGAGCCAGTGCAGGTGCATCACACACATGCCCCCAGTGCACAAAAGTCAACTTTTAAAGGGAAATGTGAGATGAATCCCGCTGCCTTCCCCACAAAGGGGGAGGGACATGCTCACACGGAGCAGAGGAGGAGGACGCTTGTAATGGGTGCAGTGATGAACTAGATTTTTATTTCTGGGAAACTGCTTCCTCTTGCACATCCACAGCACAAGTGCTAAAGCAACACAGCTTTACTGCTCATGCACCTCAGGTGAAAGGGGAACCCACCGAGTCATATCCAGCACAACTCTACACACAGGGGGGCTCTTCTTGCTAACGCATTAAGCCTGAACACACGATCTGAGCAATTCGTTTCTGTTCAGAAACACTTATCTGATGAAACTTGTTACTTTATACTTTTCCAATCCACCATGCCACTCTCTGCGTACTGTCACAGCATAGCATTGCTGGGAAGTCACTTCCTCCCTCTCTTTCCAGTGGCCAGTTATAGAATGTGTCACCAAGTAATACATGCTTCCGAGCTCTGTCATGCTCCGACACATCCTCTGTGCTGCTCGGACAATTCAATTCAACAGGCCTGTAAGCGGAGATGGCGAGAGGAAGCCTAGAGGTGGCAAGAGGAAGCCTACAGCAGGTTTGTGGCACTAAGCGTTCAGTCCAGCGGTTCCTGCAGTGCAAAGTATCTTTTTCTCATGGGGAGAAATAAGCATTTACCTTGAACGCGCTCTCCGACTCCATAGACAACAGGTCTCCATCGAATGGGATGAGGTCCAGACTGTACTGCTCCTTGTGGATGAAGGACCCCAGAACACCCTGGTCCTTCAGCCACTGCTCGCACAGCAGGCTCCGACGGGGCACGAACAGGATGTGGAAGTCCCTCTGCGGCGACCGGCCTCGATCTTCACTGGAAGAAAGTCACTGTGGCGAGTTACAGGAACGAGCACAGCGACACGGGCTGCGGTCGCTCACATCAGCAGCGCGGCGCGCAGCACCTGAGCGAAGGGGCGCCGACTTCTAGGGAAGCAAACACCACCTACGATTGAGAGCTCCTGCTTGTGGGCTGTGGCTACCTAACGTCTCACAGCACTTACCGCCTGCAAAAAGGTAACGGTCTATGGGGCAAGCAGCAGATCTGCATGATTTTACACCACTCAGAGCCAACGGCTCAAATCTTGTCCTCTCGGCGCTTTACAACGGGCGAGCCTTCCCGACTAAGATGAGGGACAGCGGTTTCCCTTCACGCCTTTCGCCAGCCTGCCCTGCCCTTGCCCTCCGGGGAGCTGCGTTT